CTTTGGAGAATATTCAAAATGGTCTGGGCAAACTAGAGAAATAGTCTGAGGTAAACAGGATGAAGTTTAATAAGGACAAATGCAAACTACTCCACTTAGGAAGGAACAATCACTTTCACACATACAGAATAGGAAGCGACTGTCTAGGAAGGAATACTGCTGAAAAAGATTTAGGGATCATAGTGGACCACAAGTTAAACATGTCAACAGTGTGACACCGCTGCAGAAAAAGCAAATATGATTCTAGGATGCATTAACTGAAGTGTTGTGAGCAAGACATGAGAAGTCATTCTTCCACTCTACTCTGCACTGATCAGGCCTCAGTTGGAGTATTATGTCCAATTCTGGGTACTAAATTTCAAGAAAGATGTGGAGAAATTGGAGAAGGTCCAGAGAAAAGCAACAAAAATTATGAAAGGTCTAGAAAACATGACCTATGAGGGAAGACTGAAAGAATTGGGCTTGTTTAGTTTAGAAAAGAGAAGCCTGAGAGAAGGAGGGAGAAAATTGTTCTCTTTGGCATCTAATAATAGGACAAGAAGCAATGGGCTTAAACTGCAGCAAGGGAGGCTTAGGTTGGACATTAGGAAAAACTGCCTGCCTGTCAGATTGGTTAAACACTGGAATAAATTGCCCAGGGGGGTTGTGGAATTTCCATCTCTGGAGATATTTCAGAGCAGGTTAGACAGACATCTATCAGGGATGATCTAGACAGTGCTTGGTCCTGCCGTGAGGTCAGGGAACTGGACTCAATGACCTCTCAAAGTCCCTTGCAGTTCTATGATTCTATGATTCTTCTTGTCTTCAGACCCCGTGCTGGTACCAGGCTCGGTCTCCCACTGCTCCCCTTAGCCAGATTCTGGCCGGTCAATAGGAGTGCAGGGAAAGGCTCCAGACAGTGCACTGCTGTTTCCCCAGCCAGGGAGGGGGAGCGCTTCTTCCCCATGCCGGGAGGGTCAGGGCTTTCTCTCCCCCTCCCCCGCTCCCTACAGTGGGAAGCCAGCACTAGTGCTCCAACTGCGCAGGGGAGGAGAGAGGGCGTCTTTTCCATGCAGCAAGACTTGGGGCATGCTCCCTCTGCAGTGGGATGAGCCTGGCCACCGGCTCCAGCCCTGACTCCACCACCTTGGGCAGCACATCTGGCTCAGAGCTTTGCAGTGGCAACGCCTGGAAGCAACAGCCCAGACTGCGGGCTGCCTCCGGCGGAGGCAAACAGGATGGGGCGGGCAGGGCTGTGCCACCTCAGGCTCGGTGCGGTAGTGTGATGGGGTGGAGAGGGTCTTGAACACTTGGCTCATGAAGCCGCTGAGCAAGCGGGCTGATCCCAGTCTGCCGGCCCCAGCCCTGGAACTGTCACTTGCTGAAGGAGCACTTCTCTTTGGTACTGCTGGGGCTGGCTGGCCCAGGGCTGCTCACCCTGGACAGCAGGGAGGATCCACCGGTATCTCCAGTCTCTTCCCTCCCCCCGCTCTGGCTGCCAGAGATGGGGGAGGTGTGGGCAGAGGTGCAGCTGGACAAAAAAATTTCCTGTGGAACACAGAGTGACTTGCTGACATCACTCTATCATCCTGCAGGAAAAGAGAGAGATCTTGAGCTCCTGAAAAATAGCATTCACTTTCTTGCTAAGTCCTGTTGCTAGACAAAGTGATGGGAAATGGGAAAAAAAGCCATTTGTTCCCTGTTCCTGGGGCAGGGAGCTCTGTGGGCTGGAATAGGGCTGTAGACCCAGAGTGGAGCCCAGTCAGCTGGCTGGATTTCCCTGGTCCAACAAACACCCTTGTTTGAGACCACTCGGGTCACAAGGGAGCTGGACCATAAGAAAAATCTTTCCCTCTAATTGTTTTCCATCCATGTGTAGAAGACTGTCTGGGCATCTCCTGGAATCGGGCTCAATCTCCTGGAGCCTCCTGCTGCCAAATTGGAAGATCGGCCACTAACTATCCAGCAGCTCTGTGGGCTAAGGCAGACTCCCCCCTGCCCTGGTCCTGCCCTGGTCCTGGAGGTGACTGTCATGTCCTTGTGGCCCCTAGGGGAGGCATAGCAGTGGATCTCCAGTTGCTGCCCTTGCTAACAGGTCCCATTTCCACAGGTCCCATTGGCTGGGAACGGGGAATGATGGCCAATGGAGTGTGGGGGGTGTGCCTGCAGATGGGACAACGTACAGAGCCATTTACCCATCACTCACCCCAAAGCCACTGCTAGATATAAGGACCGCTTTCAGGACTGGTGCAGAGCCGGGGTCAAGGTGAGCCTGCCTTAGCCTCACTACATGGGAACCATCTGAGGTAAGACGTGCCCAGCTGAAGCCCACAGCTTGATTCCCTGCCTCAGCCTGCACCCAGCCCCCTTGCCCCAGCCTCGTGAAAATGAATGATAATGGGAGATGGAGGGGGCATGGAGTGAGCAGAGCAGGGACATAGAGAAAGAGCGGGGAAGGTGTAGAACAAGCATATTTGGGGTTGAGATAGATCCTGGATTGCACTTAAATTTAAAAAGAGATCTTCTTCAATAGTTTGGAGTGCATCTCGAAGTTGTATCAAATTGTATAGCTTATTTCGAATCAATTTCAAAATAGCCTATTTCAAAATTTATTTTGAAATAAATCGCTATTCTGAAATGTCATGGAATGAGGTTTACAGGGACATCAGAATAGCGAGCCCTATATATTTTGAAATAACGGGCGCACTCAAAAGACAGAATAGCACTGCAGTGTAGATGTAGCCTTGGAGACCACTGGTTTAGAGGAAGTGCAGATCTATGTTAACTCTGCAACCTTTTATTCTTATGATTTCACCTCCTTTGGATCTTAGACAGCTAGGAAAAGGTTTCTCTCAGAAACAGCCAAATGCTTGAATGGAAACAAAATATGATTATGTGGGAATTATGCAAACAGGTCAGTACATTGACTTAAAAAGGTCAGGGTGCCTGTATTTCTCTAATCCGAGGTTAATTGCTAAACAAAGTAAAGTTATATATTGGCAGAAGAGGTACAAAATAAAATATTTTCATGGCCATTTCTATGGTTAAAACTAGGTCAGATTCTTTCAAGAAACACTAACGGAAAATGTTCATATACGGAGGATTAATACGTTGTAGCCAACTTGTGCTTAAGTATCTTGGAGACCACTAGTCTGGATTGTGCTTGGTCCTGCAATGAGTGCAGGGGATTGGACTTGATGACCTCTTGAGGTTTCTTACATGAATCTGTAATTCTTTAAAAACTATGACTGGTGTGAAGAAAATGAATAAGGAACTGTTATTTATTCCTCATAACCATATGAAATTAATAGACAGCAGGTTGAAAAGAAACCAAAGGAAGTATTTCTTCACAAAACACTCCGTAATCCTTTCGAACTCTTTGCTAAAGAATATTGTGAAGACCAAGACTACAACAGGAATCTGTTCACGCAATGAGGTTAATAAGAAAGAACCAATCTGATGTATATTATGGAAGAAATGAAGCCAGTAGACTTCAGTTTGAGGGAACTATGTTCTATGACTGGCAATTTTGACTGGTTTATGTGATGATCTTTTCAAGCCAAAATTTCTATGTATTGCCTCTTAGAAAATCAATTGTATGCTTAAAAAGGCTCAGAGGTTATATTAGTGAGTTTAGTGGATTTTTTCTGACCATAAATATTAGCATTTCCTAAAGTAAAGTGCACTGAAATTGGTATTTCTATCAGTCTTCTTACTGCCAATATATTTCTAATTTGTCTTTTGACTTTGGTCCCAGACTTCTTGTAAAAAGGGCTTGCCTTTTGTGCTAACTTCAGAGGAGATCAGTGGTCAGCAGACAGAGATCTTCAAACTATTTTATCTTATTTCTGTTCTGTTTGAAACCAGGTTTTTAATGGTTAAAATAAGCTATAAACTACATGTCCTCTAATCTCAAGAACACTTTTTAAATTCAGGTTACGAGTTAATCACACTGTTTTGACTGATATTCTGAGTAAGATTCTGCTAAATCTAGTGGAGAAAAGAAATATGACATAGGTGTGTCCTTTATTCTGGTTTGCTCCAAAATGCCTCCTAAAATTAGCATCAGCATGGTATATTAATGGAAATATTTTGATGTTATGAATAATACATATTTTATAATCTTTGCCTGCAGTGATGAAAGTTTTGTGGCAATAAATTGCCACAGAGAGGTGGCAGACACCCCACTGGGATCCCATTTCATCAAGGCATTTGTGCCTGAATGTAATCATCTGAACATTCCTAACAGGACTCTATGAAGATTTCCACATGTTTAAATTTAGGCATGAGCCTAAGTTTTACTGAATTTGGCTCCAAGTCATGATCTTTGATTTCTAATTCTAACCCTCACCCTATTTTTGTTAGTACTAAATTTTTATCCTCCTCTCACTCTAATTATATAGAAGGATGTATAAAGTGATAAAAGGTGCTACTGAGGCAGGTGATACAGCTGCAATCCATAAATATTTTTCAGGATTTCTTTTTAATACTCCAATTTTTGGAAGAGTTTGTTTTTTAAAAAAATATTTTTTGTGTTCTTGTTATTATAAAGAATGTTCAAATAGTGCTTTTTTATTACTAAAATCTTTAGAATTCTCACTGTCAATCCTTTAAAGTGCAATTTAAAAAACAAAACAAAACAGAAGGGAACCATTTCTTCTTGACTTTCATACGTGAAATATAACCAGACAACTTCGGCCACTATAGATTTAATAGCTGTATGACAAATAATAGGAGTATTGACCTAGGTGTCCAGGCCACATTCTAACACAAGTAATTTATTTTGCCTCCTTGAATTGCACTTGTACTTTCAGCTGGGATATGGCATTGCTTCTTCACTTCCCAATTGTTGTGTAGTGTGCTGTGTATTGTTAAACATCTTCCATATTTGACATTGTAGGTGGCTTCATTCACCAGAGAATGAAATGATATTATATATGTAATTATCTCACAGGAGTGCTTTGAAGTTCAAGCAGTTAATGTTGGCTAGTGCTTTTAAATCCATAGCTGAAAAGTGATGCTGATGTACAAAGTGCTATTATAAGAATTATGAATGCACTGTGTTGATAATATGAATTCTCAGAGTACATTGTAGCTGTTCCTTTAACGCATCCCCAAATTAGTGTTTGGTCCTTTGTAATTTAAATAGTATTTTCTATGGCTCACACAGGCTCACTCTGAAGATGGTGGCCTGCAAAGGGAAGACACTGAAAAACATTCAAAATAGAATAATGTTGGCAGACTTCATAGGGGATATAACATTTGAGCATTTGTACTATGAACAGCAGGTTACAGTAACTGCTTCATCTCAAACCATGCAGTTCACGCTTCACAGAGTGTGTAGCTAAGAGAGCACATTGAACGAGGTAAAGCTGATGCTTATACGTTTTTTCTATATATGTATTTTAGAGTGTATCTGTCTGTGAGTCTGCTTGTTCAACAATGGTTAGAGCTTACACTGGATAAGTAGCTCTCTGCCCCAAACCCTCCCCCCACACACCACCTTGGCCGCAGTGCCAGAGAGGAAGTGGGGAGGGTGAAAGCAATGCTGGGCAGGGGTGAGAGTAGGACCCGGCTGACTGGGGAGACTGGGAAAAGCCCTGCTGGCTGGGGGGAGAGAAAAGGCCCCTGCCAGTTGGGAGGACTGCTGGCCAGGTGGGGGGGAGTGGTGGAAGAAAACCCTGCTAGATGGGACCCCTCCACCCTGAGCGCCTCCATACTCTCGCACCCCCACATACTTTCCAAACCTTCTTCCCCGAGCCCTTCTTCTATCTGCCACCGTGACTCCTGTACCTACCATGCCCTCAGACTCCAGCACTGCCCCCCATTCTCAAGGCCCTGCCCTGATACCACCAGCCCCCTGCCCTAAAGGACCAGAGTAACGTCTGGTAAGTCTTCTAGTATCAAATATAATAAAGAAATGGAACAATTTATTTCAGCTGATATATAACTATCATTCCGAATATATTAGCATGACCTAATACAAACTTGTTATGCCTTACATATATATTCTAACATACACTGTATATATTCATTCACTAGCCTATTCATTTATAAGCCAGCACTCTAAGATTAATAGGTAAAAAAAAGGAAAAATGCTACAACTCTTTCTTAAACCAAGCCTATATTTTGGAGGTTGGCAATTTTTGGTTCCTGTCTTGTCCGGTGAAGCAGCTGGTGCATGGGAACATTTTGTTTATCTGGAGCATCTGCAGGTATGGAGCCCTGCAGCTTCCACTATCTGTAATTTGCTGTTCCTGGACAACAGGAGTGGCAGGAACTGGGAGCCAGCATGTCCCTTACCCCATAGTGCTTCCCACAGCTCCCATTGGCCAGGAATGGCAAATCTCAGCCACTGGGAGTTGCGGGGCTCCATGCCTGCAGATGTTCCAGGTAAACAAACCTCCCAGTTTGCTGACCCCTAATGTAGATCACCAATGATGGAATGTCAGTTCTGGACCCATTTCTTTAAAAAAATTGTGCTAAAGTTTTATTTTTATTTAAATTGTATCTGCAGGAAATTTGACCCATCTGTTTCACAAAATGCTAGAGTAGTCAGTCAAAAGAATACAAGGAATGATGGTACTATGGCACTGGTGTCAGTCTGCAACCGTGTAATTTGACTTCTTCATTCATGTTGACCACTGGACCTCCTAAGTTCTTGCCAATCTGAAAATATAATGTGCAGAATCGAAGAAATATGCAATAAAATTTAAATAGCCTGTTATCACTAGAGACATGCCAATCTATAGGACGGTTTTAAAATAAACAAAGTACAATTATAATTTGACAGTGATAAAGTAGGTGACATTCCTCTATAAAGTCCTACAACTAAACTAGTCCTATAACTAAATTGTTTTCTAAGATTTTCATACTACCATTTCAAGAGAAATGAAAAGAAAATGAAACGGTCTGCTTATGATGCAGCGGTCATACTTAAAACAAACAATAGTTGTACTGCTGGTCATGAATTCCGTATCAATGAGAAACAGGTAAAAGAACTGTGAAAAAATAAAACAACACTAAAAGACATGCCAGAAGCAAGAAAAAATGTCCAACAAGGTACACTTCATTTGCTGGCTTGGGGAAAGATCTCAATGATTGGGTTGTGGATTGTCATTAACAAATGGGTATTTTGCCACTAAAACTGGAATTTGTCTGCATGCTCTGCAAATGTTGAAAGACAACAAGTACAAGTCAGTAAAGTCATCAATGTTTGTCACATCAGTGGGTTGGTGTACTCATAGTCTCTGTCTTCGTTAGTGAACAAAGATAGCTCAAAAGCTGCCGAGAGACCTGGAAGAAAAAATTGAATATTTTGAACGGTTTATTATAAAACATCGAAAGGACTATGTATTTGATCTGTCACAAATAGGAAATATGGATAAAACCCTAAAGACATTTCATCTCCTGAGCAACAGAATGATAACTGGTGTTGGTGAAAAAACAGTTTTAATTAAAACCACTGGCCATGAAAAAATCTGTTTTACAGTGGTTTTATCATATTTGGTTCATGGATCAGAGCTCCCCCTTGTTATTATTTTGAAAAGAAAAATCTTGCCTAAAAACATGAAATTTCCTATAGGTGTCATTGTTACATGTCCGATTTATTCAGGTCCCACACCCCATTACTTTATGGTGTCTAGCGTGCCGGGCGCACCCTATCCCTGTGTCAATTGTGAGGCCCACAAGGAGCAGGTCTTTGCCTTCTTAAATTGCGTTACAAATGCCTGCAGGTGGCAGAGAGGGGGGTCCAGGCCCACCCACTCTCGCAGACCCCGGCCCAGGGCCCTGACACTGAGAACTGCGTTCCCAGTGATAGTAGGCAGGGGCGTACCCCTAAAAGCCCCCACTCTCGGGCTCCATGACCCTACTCTGGGCCAACATTCAACCCTGCCACCGGGATCCCCCCTTCCTCGGAGAAACCCTTATTCCTCCTCCATTCCCCTGGACTCTGTACTTACTCCGCGTTCACCTGCCTCCTCTTGCGCCTCCCCTGTCCCATTTTTATCCCCCTCGTCTCCCTCCCTCTCAGCAGGTGACTTCCTTCCCCTGGCGCCCGTTGCGCCGGTGATGTCATCCCTTGCGGCCGGTCCCGGGTACTGCTGAAATGCCCCAGCCACTTCCGCCTGCCGTATTTCTGCCCCTTGCCCTATGCCGGCCTGCCTCTTCCCCGTGAGCGTCTGGTGGCGCCTTCCTCGCCTCCACCAGGGCCGCGTTCGTGTGCCCTCCCGCAGCGCCCCAGCCCCCTTGTTGGGGATAGTGGCAGGGTTGACTCACCCCGTCACAGTCATCCTAACGTGCACTGGAAAAGTGATGGATGGATGAAAATGGGACTATGAATTACTGCAAACAGTGTGGAATAAGGGACCAGGAACACTTCTCAAGAAAGCTTCAATGCTTATTTGGGACATGTTTAGGTCACATAAGACAGATGAGGTAAAACATGCCTCCCCCCCCCCAAAAAAAAAACTACTTTGGCTGTAATACCTCACAACTTCTGTCCTACAACCACTTGATGTCTGAACAAACCCTCTAAAATCCTGTGTAAATTCTTGCGTTAGTACCCTTCCAATCTAATGCTATCCTATGATCCTTATCTGCTTCTTTTAAATATCCAATCTTTAGGTGCTTATAGGCTACCAGTTCTGCCTACTTGTTTTTCCCTTTGATATCTTCATATCCTCTGCTCCTTGTTTCCCGCCCCCTTCCTTTTTTTTCCTTCCCCCCTCTCCATTCTTCCCTATTTATATTGGGTTTGCACATCCTAAACTCGAAACTCTGGTCATCTGAAGAAGTGGGCTGTGCCATGAAAGCTCATGATACCATCTACATGTTTTGTTAGTCTATAAAGTGCTACCAGAGTATTTGTTGTTTTTTAAGTTTATCCTCTAAAGATAGGCTATATAAAAGTGGTCTGGCATGGTGAAGTTGACAAAAGGTGGGAATTTTATGAGGCCTGAAATAAATCTGGTTGCCCAGTGAGTCAAGGATGCATGGGAGTACATTCCCTTGGAAATGATAGAAAAACCATTTTGGAAATGCTGTATCAGCAATGTGTTTGGTTGTTCAGAAGTCAATACTATATTTGCTCATGACACAATGTAGGCTAGTGATAAGGAATGTGATCTTAGAATGATATTGCTGACATCTACAATGACAATGCAGGAGCAGCTATAACTGCATCTGAGTTTAATCAACTGTTTAGAGTTGGAGACTGATTCATACCTTGAAGGATTTTAAGACTTTTTAAATAGGTGCATTAGAATGATAAGAGATTTTAAAACATGAACTATAATTTTGAAGGTATGTGAATACATAGTTCTTCAGTTATTATAACAGAGTTATAAAATAAATCTACTACATTTTTGCGTGCTTCTTGTGACTCCAACTTTTAAAATATAGCAGAGTTCGCAAATTTCAGTACCCAGTCCATCAGGATAAGCCACTGGGAGCTGAGGAGCTCCATGCCAGCAGACACTCCAAGTACACAAAATATCCCGATGCGCTAGTGGCGTATTCTGATGAGCTGGGAACTGAAGTTTGCTAACTTTGGATTTACAATGACAATGCAGACCCATTGATAAACTGACCCCTGCTCTTTGATGCATCATTTTTTTACCAAAGTAATCGGCTTATGAACAAGTATATACGGTATATTATACAAGTAACATATGTGTATGAACATATTTCTTATTTCACAACACACTACATTAACTCACACAATAAATTCCAATGGAGATGGAAGAGGGAGGAGGGGGATTTTGCTGTGAAGGATGTATGCAGAGTTATAGGAAGGAGGAGGTGTGGTTCTCTCTTCCCCATTCCTACTTAGTACACTGAATCTTACAGTATTTATGAGGGAAATTGTTAAAAGCTGGGAACACGAACAGACTCCTAACTGGACCAGAACATGCACATTTCAGCCAGAATGTCTGTCAGCCTGATCAATGTGAGTCATCACGCCTCATTCTGAGCATATGTCACATTTTACATCCTTATAATTTCTTAGGTTATGTCAAAAAATAGTAATGATTTCATACATGGTGTGTTGTATTATTTTACTGTAACTGGCACCGGGTTTTTTTGTTGGCACTTAATGTCAATAAAATCAGTTTGGGCCATATACATAATAGCACTACTGTAAATCAGGCATGACACAGAAACTCTCTGAGGGTATGTCTACACTACCCCGCTAGTGCGAACTAGCGGGGTAATGTATGCATACCGAACATGCAAATGAAGCCCGGGATTTGAATTTCCCGGGCTTTATCTGCATAAGCCAGCCGGCGCCATTTTTAAATGCCGGCTTGTTCGAACCCCATGCCGCGCGGCTACACGCGGCACGGGCTAGATAGTTCGCACTAGCAAGCCATTCCGAACTATCTGTAGTTCCACGAGGCGTACAGATAGTTCGGAATGGCTTGCTAGTCCAAACTATCTAGCCCGTGCCGCGTGTAGCCGCGCGGCATGGGGTTCGAACAAGCCGGCATTTAAAAATGGCGCCGGCTGGCTTATGCAGATAAAGCCCGGGAAATTCAAATCCCGGGCTTCATTTGCATGTTCGGTATGCATACATTACCCCGCTAGTTCGCACTAGCGGGGTAGTGTAGACATACCCTCAGAGAGTTTCTGTGTCATGCCTGATTTACAGTAGTGCTATTATGTATTGACTGGCAATTACAGTGGGTGTGTGTGTATGTCTGTACTTTCAGCTAGGTTATGCCCTTGTTTCTTCACTTTCCAATTGTTGTGTAGTGTTTTTACATTAATAGAATTTTGCATTTTAAATATTTAATATATATTCAAAACAGTCTCATTCTGGCTTTGTACATGTGCATATAACTTGCATTGAAGCCAGTGGAAACCCAGCATGTGTATAACAGAAGATCTTTCTATATTTTAATAATGGGGGATGCAAATTCTCATTTTCTCTGTTTGCCAATATGTTTTAATACCTCTTCATAATGTATGGTGGATGTTTAATTACCATACTGTAACACATACGCTCAGTAAGCGGTCTCAGCTCAGGTGTATATTCATAATTTTGTTTTTGTCATCTATTTTTTAAATACTTTTTGAAGAAAACAATTTGCATGATAAATAAGTCAGTTTATCATAATTATATATTTGCAACTAAGTATCATATTTTTATCAGTTGCCATTAATTTATTAAAGTATTTGGATTTTTTCTTTTAGTCTAAGGAATCCTGACTCTATGGAAATATAAAGAAAAGTTAAGGAGGCACTTTTCCATTACTTTACAATATATATTGTATTTATATTGCTTGCAGCATATACCTTTCAGGCACAGAGACAAAGGTTCATGTGTATTATGCTTTCTATTTAACTGCAGGTTTCCAAGTTTCTCTGGGGATGTATTTCTATTAAAAGAGAGCACACAGAGTAGAGTTTAAGCTCCCCAAGGAAACAGACTATAGTGAAAACTGATTGCTCTACAGAGTCATAGTTAAAAGGGGGCGGGGGGAAGCTGTGATTAAGTGACATCAAGCACATATAACCCAATGGGAAACCGAAAAGGAGTTAATATTGAGGGCCCACATTTTGCTGACAGTGGTGTGTGACTATTACTGTTGATTTCCCATACATTTGTTTCTGAGGGTGTATTTTGGCCCTAAGACTATTAAATTGCTTCTAACTTTAACTCACTGTGTGAACATATATGTATTCCACACATCTGCATATAATGTTAGATGGCCTATGGTTTGCAGTGCCTCAAAATACCTTTTAGATATCTATGTACTTGTTTATCTCCCATTGGCATAATATACGAGCACCTCGACTAATTAAGAATGGCATTTCATTGTACTTACATGCAGTGTTCCCTCTAAGCTGTCCTGCAGCACAGCTTCACACATGATTAATCAACCTCCCCCAGCCAGTCAACTCTATGGGTGGAACCCTCAGCCTCTGACTGGTGGGGCTGATTAATCACCTGTGAAGCTGTGCTGCCCAGCAGCTTAGAGGGAACGCTGCTTACATGGAAAGTTATAGATAAACATTTTATTTCTATGCTAAGGACCTGATCCTCTGAATATTTACTGGCAACAATAGAACTTATTACAATGAGTTGTCCCACTGTAAAAAAAAAAAAAAAAAAAAAAAAAAAAAAAAAAAATCAGAAAATACCATGTGAAATATCTGGTATAGTTACATGCGACCCGCACTGTTTGTAGCCTGGACTGCATTCATAATTCGGGGTCCGCCATTTACGACAGCTTTGGTCATAAATGCAAACGGTCTTAAGTCGACCGTTCGCAACTCGGGGACCAGCT